TAACATCAATTTATCCCGAAATGTGGGGATAAATTGTCAGAAATATGTTTTCGTACACCCGAGTAAACGGACACTTCACATCGAGCAGATACAAAAAAAAAACGTATTAACGAAGTGCATTATTCTGGTAGAACATAAGGTTTATTTTATTTTTTTAAATACGTCTATATTTCTACAGACGTGACGTTTGATGAGGCGCATGTGTCACATCCCTATCACGATAAAGACTGGCATTTACAGAAAGCTGACATAATGTCAGGTTGTGCTGCTGTCATTCCTCATGTGCAGACTCGCTTTGTACAGTGGGAGCAACTGAAGTCTCGACGAACAAAACCCCATCTTCCTTGAACAAAGAAAAAAGACCTTCATTTCATTTCCGAGAAGAGTGCTACACTAGTTTTCTTGCCTTATATGTCTTGTGAAACCATGGCAACCGCAATATGGAGATCACAGTTCTTACAAAAAAAAGGGACTACAGTGTAAAAAGGGACATCTAACAGCAATCTCTTTAGCCAAAAGAAGTTCCTGTACCCAGTTAAGTCGAGTTAAATCAGGGAAAACTTGAGGGTAAGTCTGTTTTACTCTCAGATTTTTGCTTTCCGGGTTAAGTGGTACAGTACTATAGGAATCGCTCGACTCTTTTATTCGAAACTTGTCATGATGAACAGATTTACTGAAATATGTAAAAGCATAACGCTCACACCCCAAGGCTCAGCAGCCAAAATGTTTTTTTTCCAAATACTTCCCAGCGTATAATTAACATTTGCTTATTTCTAAAATATATAAATGTAAATATATCCATGCGGTTATGTAGATTTCATTAATAACTTTTTAAAATGACTCCCATACATGCATAAAGCAGAAATACATACAGTGCATTAAACAACTTGATAAATTCCTAATCCCTTTTATTCTTTCAGTATTAATGAATGACTTGTTTTCATTTGGGACTCCAAGTTTATAACAGTTTTGAACTGTGTGGATAGTTTGAACCTACTTTTGATGATACATGTCGACGTTATATGTGCTCAGTAAATGTATCCTCGGTACACAAATAATCTTCTAAAATGATCTATTAATCGATTAAGAAAAAAATACAATCTTATAAATATGAAAAAGTAACAAAACAGATTAAATGTGTTTTGTTAACTTTACTTACTATTTTATCACTGCTTTGCTTTCGCTTCGCTTCTCAGCCACCGAATCTCTGGGTGCTGACCACAGTCTAAAAAGCTACAGGTTTCTCAGCTTATACAAAATTAATATGGAACTTCAGAAGTCAGAAAAGCTTTTGTCTCTTCCCAGCTGATCTGACAGTGACGGACTCGGTGATATCATAAAAAATGGACGCAACGTTTACAAATACTCGAAATACGATCGTCTCGGAGTAATGACGATTTCGAAGTTACAGCTTTGCCTAGAAAATTTCGTTGTTGTTTTTTTTTTGGCACTCTACACTCGAATATTTGAAGAAAATTAGAGAAACCGTAAGGCCTTCTACAAACATTTTATTTAAAATCACTTTCCCTTTCCCGCACCTCGTAGGTATAATCAAATGAGTGTGGGTACCTTCCAACCTTCGGCGCGTAGTATTACGTCACCAATCCTACCCACTCTAATGTCTCATAGCTGACGATTTGAAGCCAACGGTTCCCAAATGTTTGCCCCAAACGACTCTCCCCTTCAGTCCGAGTTGTCTTTTGTTTCCGAGTGACAGAATCACATGTGGCGCTGGATTGCTTTGATGCGATTTTTAATTCTTTCTGCAAGGTATGTGGTTGATTTTTTTTAAAAGAAAATTACAAACATATTTAAAAAAAACCAAAAATAACACACCATGGCGTTTTACCAGAAATGTAGATGTATTTTTTAAATTTCAGTTTTGTGTATGCCTTCGTTTCTGCCACTGAGCGCCGTTCGCTGCTTGTCAGCCTCATATTACACCTCAAGAGAAGAGAATGGGAGTTCATCTGTTTCACAAGGCACGACATCTTACCAGTATTTTTTAGGTCCAGCACTTGTTTTTCCATAAAAGAAATAAGATTTGCGTGCAAACAAATGTGTACTGTTTCTGTAGTGTTGAGATCTGACTGATGACTGCACCGCAGCCCCCCTTAACGTGAATTTAACATGCTGCTGACTGCACAGATCTAAAGAACAGTCCTGCTTACAGACAACCATGAAGCTTGTAATTTGGATATTTGGTGTACAGCCATCGAATTATTTCGATAGGAGCCACCGTCATGCTAAGTAGTTCAAGCGCCTTTCTCTTTATGAAAAGGGCACCGCGTTATTTCCTGTTTGCGATAATTGGAACGGTTTGTCTTACTTCCTCGAATCCCTAAAATAAAACTACAGCAGCGGCCGTTTTACGGGACTATGAGGTGATTTTCGCTAGCTACTTTAACAGATCTTTTCTATCGCACGTACGCGCCGAATTCACTCGGTTTGAAAAGAAACCATACTTTAAGTGCCGCAAATTCTCCTTTTCTTTATGTCTTGCACAGCGTTGAAAAGGCGTGCGTTCACTCGGTATATGCGTTTACACGGACTGTATGACATCGCAAACACTTGACTAAGTGCCCCATGACATGTTTTGTAGTCTCATGGAATGCCAGCTGTAATTAAATGAACAAATTCGGTTGTGTGTGAGAGTTGTTATTCTAGCTTTTATTGCCCCGCTTGTTGTACCCCTAGTAATATCTGTTTTAACACACCACCACTAATGTGCGATGTGCTGTTAACCAACGATGAAGAAAAGAGCATTTCTGTTCGTTTTATTAGGAGGAAATAGTAATACTACATCACAGAAGACCTGGTTGATGATTTCACAGATAGGTGATGATTATTGAACTTATCAAACTTAATTTTAATATGCCATGTACTGCAAACTCCTGTTGTCTGAGAAGATGTTAGATTTATGCTGTTGTCTGAAGGATTTGGTCATATTCCAGCACCATTCGTTGCACGTTGCTCACATTGGCTACATTGCAGTAAGGGTTCATAGCAAGGCACAACAAAGACATAGACTCGCACCACACCAGTCACAACACAGTTTTGCCAGAAGCCATTTAACTTGCCAGTATGTTTTTGGACTGTGGGAGGAAACCGGAGCTCCCAGTGGAAACCCATGTGAACACAGTGAGAACATGCAGACTCCACACAGACAGCACCCCACTACTGAAATCGATCCCAGGGCCTCTGCACTGGGAGGTCGCAATGCTAACCACTGTGTCAGCTTCAGTCTCAGTTATGCTAAAATTATGCAATACTGCTGGACCGCGTTCTATAACATAGACCCTTGTGTTGTCTGCCAGCTTCTGTTGTAAAGGCTTGTGTGAAGTCTTGATTTCCTGTATCTTTACAGACTGTATCTTTAGTTAGAATCTGCTGTAGTATTAGTAGTAACATTATCCAATAAGCAGACTTTGTGCTCCCACTCTTTTACCTTTCTTTTACTGTTGTAGTAGTGAAAACAGTGCTTTGCATTATTATTTTCCCTTATTATTAGCAACATTTCTCACCATTTTGGCAGTTCTGATGTTGTTTTCCAGCTGTAGCTAGGTGAACTCTTTATACTTTGAATCTTGTGCCTTTTTACTTGGTCTGTAGCACACCTTGTTCCGATGTATCCATATCTCAGTTTAGACCATATTTTAAAGTAAAGCATTGGGGCCGGTTTTCCAAGACCTCACTGTTTTGAGGGATTTTCAAACTTTAACGTTTTTTGAGGTATGATGTTCCTTCTTCTATTAGCTCGGTGTCTCAATCCTTCATTGTCTGTTTTTTCTAAAATTATAGGCTAAACCTAGTTTTAGAATTAAACAATAGCAATTTCAAGAACACATTAAATACCATATCATGCTCACAGTTTCCTAGTGGTTGTATTTAATCTGTTTCCTTAATTATAATCCTGGTTGAAAAGATGAGGTCAAAAAAGAGCATTTTCTTTATTTGGCACTTTTACGAACTGGGGTTAGAAAGCAATCATTAACCATTTCAGTCATGGCATCGTGAGCTTCTTCATTGCCCGTCCCAAATATCTAAGTTTATGTATGGAAAGTTGAAATCTGCCAGTAATGTAGTATCACCTTTGGACATCTCTTCATCGTTGAGTTGTCCAGAACTGAAGTCTGAATTGATTTCTGCGTTAATCAGTTCTCAATCCTGCGAGCCCTTAAAAACAGGACTGTTCTGAACATTGATTATTGTTTCAAAACCATGTGAACGTTTCTTCCTCTTTTCAGAGGCAAATCAATTGCTGTTATCACTTTAACAGGTCTCTGTCATGTGGTCACACAGTGGCTCTTAACTGTATTGATCATGGACTGTATGGTGAAGATAATTCATTGTATCTTTACCAATTATTCTACACAGTTCGTAGCCCAAGCCCTGCTATTAACCCACCCAGATGATGTACTGTAACTAGCTCCTGGCCAGCCCCCCTGTAAAAGCAATGACATACCAATATCAATCAGAACTGCTCAGTCACCGATCGCTAACATCCGTGACCCTTCAGATGCATCCATCCTTTTTCTAGATGATTCTTCCAATTCAGGGTCCAGGGAGAGCCGGGGCCTATCCCAGCATGCAGCGGGGGCTAGACAGGGGTACATTGTGGACAGGATGCCAGTCCATCACAGGGGCAGACAGGC